AATTTGGACAATAGAATCCTTAGGCCTGGGAAATTGTGTCCCTACCCTGGCTCTCTTTAGTGAGTTCTTTTCTCCAAGGAGTGAGAAGTCTGCAGTCCAGGAGATTTATCCATCTGGAGTTACTTCTTTACAATAAAGACCATGTTGCAGATATCTCAACTCCCGTGTTTCCTTGCCCAAATCCAAAGCCACCTTCCAGGTTCTGCATAGATGTCTTCTCCCCAGCTGTGCTGCTGCTGTGCATTTCATGGATGGTGAAGGGGTGATTGTAGGGCAGCTAAGTAAAGGGGAGGGGCAAGGGAAAAGATCAGTGTGCAGGTTGAAATGTTCACCTGTATATGCCCAAGGACCCTCTAGGTATAGGTTAGAGCTGTAGGGTGGAATAAGAAGAGGGGCTGCAAATGTTTTTACACTTGCCCTTAGCTTAGCCTTGCAAATATTAAGAGATAGACCTAGAATCAGATTTGAAGTTAGAAGATCTCATTTGAAGTTTTAGTGTTGCCTTCTGCTGCTATATGTTCTTGGGGAAAGTTTCTTTCTCTGAATTTTATTTTTTCCATTTCCAAAATGGGGTTAATAATATGACCTAGCTCACAGAATTATTGAAAAGACTGAATAAGATAATATGTGTAATAATACTTAGAAAGCTAATTATTTATTAAATTAATTATTTACTTACAGTTTATAAAAGTCTTGATATAAAACACTAGTTCTCAAAATGTGGTGTACTGAAACCTAGACCTCAAGATCCTTTTATTTTTATTTATTTTTTTTATAAGTGGACACAATGTCTTTATTTTACTTTATGTGGTACTGAGGATAGAACCCAGTGCCTCATGCATCCTAGGCGAGTGCTCTACCCCTGAGCCACAACCCCAGCCCCCAAGACCCTTTTAAAGCAAGTCTTCAAGGTCAAAACCATTTTCATAAAATTATTATGATACTTTTTGCCTTTTTTTACCATGTTGATAGTTAAAACTAGCATATATGAATTAAAGATTTTTAAACATTTTTGTCAATACTAACTCTTGCTGCTTGTGTTCTATTGATGTAAGTCTCACATTATTAACTGATATTTTTCCAATGAAACATTGCTAGTTTAGAAGGGGTAAAAGTACTGTGAATATATGATTTTTCACTTCTCATGTATACATGGCTTTATTTTTTTTTAAAGATTGACTACAGTGGTTAATCATATCATTGCTCCCAGATAGGTAATTTGGCCAGTTTCCCCAGAGCAGTCAGCCCTAATGAGTAAGGTGTGGAAGCCACAGAATAGCTCATAGATTGTCTGTTAGACCAAGAAAATCAATGTTTACTTCTAGTGACAGAATTTTTCTTTTTCTGAAAAACAATTGATCACTCCCACTGGCATTAAGGTGTCTGTTGAAGTAGAGCACAAGTAGGAACACGTTTCAGAGTAAAACATGGGAAAGTGAACCATAAGAGGATCTCTGAGCCTTCAGCTACAAAACTATAGATATCTTTTGTTTTAATATTTATTTTTTAGTTATAGGTGGACACAATATCTTTATTTTATTTGTATGTGGTGCTGGGGATCGAACCCAGCGCCTCACACATGGTAGGCGAGTGCTCTACCTCTGAGCCATAGCCCCAACCCTAGATGTCTTACTTGATAGAAAGGTAAGCCAGATACTTAAGGTAGGTGTGGTGGTACATGCTAGTAATCCCAGCTACTTAGGAGACCAAAACAGGATGATGACAAATTTGAGGCCATTCTGGACAACATAGCAAGCAAGTCCCTCCCTCTCAAAAAAAAAAAAAAAAAAAAATCCCAAAACAAAGAAAGAAATGCATGTCTATTAAAGTCTTAATATGTTCATAAAATCGATTTTAAACTCTTGATTTTTAGAGGATATAGCTGTGCTGTTTTCCTGATAATCTTTGTATGTTTATAATGTTGACAAAGTTATTTCTATATCATACTAAAGCAAAATAAGTGAAAAAAGCTCATATTTTCTTTTGATTCTATAGGATGTAGATGATTTCTTTGAGCATGAACGAACTTTCCTTTTAGAATATCATAACCGAGTTAAGGATGCGTCTGCTAAGTCTGATAGGATGACAAGATCCCACAAAAGTAAGACTTTTTTTTTTTGTGTGTGTGTGTGTGTGTGGCTTTAGCTTGAAATTTTTAATGGAATAATAATAATAAGGCTGACTTGTTACTTAGAGTTTGTAAAAGTCTTGATATGAAACAGTGGTTCTCAAACTGTGGTCTATTGAAGCTTAGACCCCAAGTGAGTCTGCAAGGTCCAAAATTATTTTCATAAAAATACTGTAGATACTTTTTTGCCTTTTTCACCATTCTGACATTTACACTGATGATGCAAAGGAAAAAATGGATAAAACTCTTTGTGCCTTAGTATATACAAATCAAGGCAGTAGCATCAGACTTTACTAATAATAGTCACTGTAGTTTTTCCTGCCATGACTTACAATTTTCTAAAAATGTAACTTTGATGTAGCAGCAAAAATTATAACAAATCTCCACCCCAGAGTTCACATTTTTTAAATATTGAGTGATAAAATGGGAAATATCTATAAAGCACTTTGCATACTAAAATGTTATGATTCTCTCTGGAAGAGCATTTTAAATACTGTTGAGTTGTGACTGAACTAAGTGCTTTTTCCATGGAATACCATATTTACTTGTAAGAACAACTAACAGATTTCCCAAACAACCAGGGCATAATGCCACAAATTGTGTATATAAAAGATTCATTCAAAGTACAAGATAGATCAATGAGGTTTATGAACAGCTTATTTGAGTATATTTAGTATTTTTTTTATAATTAGTATTTATAAGATTTGGTGTCAAAGTGTACAGTTTAATCTAGTAAAAATTGTGAACATGTATCCATAACCCCTGAAAGTGGCCTTTAGTGTATACTTTTTTTTTTTTTTTAAAGAGAGAGAATTTTTTTTAAAAAATATTTTTATTTTAGTTCTCGGCGGACACAACATCTTTGTATGTGGTGCTGAGGATCGAACCCGGGCTGCACGCATGCCAGGCGAGCGCGCTACTGCTTGAGCCACATCCCCAGCCCTAGTGTATACTTTTTATTGTTGAGTTTTGTTTTTTGTTTTTTTTTTTATACCGAATAGTATTCTATTGTATGGATATGCCAACATAATCATTTGTTCATTTGCCTATTGGTGAACATTTGAGTCATTTCTAACTTGTGTCTATTACATTATCCACCTGCATGTCTCTTTGCATGGATGTAAATTTAACTTTTTAGGAAACTGGCACTTTTTTCATAATGATTATCCCATTTTGCATTTCCAAGAGCAGTGACGTGAGAGTTCAGTTGCTCCACATCCTTGTCAGTCTTTTTTTATTAGCATTATTTTTTAACTAATACATAAAAACATAAAAATTATGTATATTAATGCAGTATTAAGTGACATTTTAATATAGGCACATTGTATAATATTTAAACCACATTAAACATCTGTCTCTGAACATTTATTATCTTTATGGTGAAGACTTTAAAATCTTTTCTTTAGCTTTTTGAAATGTACCTTATTCTTACCTTTTGCCACCCTACTGTGTAGTAGCACACCAGAACTTCTTTCTCCTAATAAAAAATATGGGGAGAAAAGGACCGCCTTGCTCCTAACTACAACTTAATACCCATTGATCAACCTTTTATCATTATTCCCTCCCCCTTCTCTCCTTAGCCTCTGATAATCACTGTTCTACTCTCAACTTCTATGAGTAGTGTCTACATATGAGTGAGATCATGTACTTGTCTTTCTGTGCCTGGCTTATTTCAGTATATATTGTTGGGAGTCTCCTTGAGAACTCCCCAGGCCTTTCAAACATGACGGTGGGCAAATTGCCAGTGGGCGGCTAGAACTCCCTGGGCCTTTCAGATAAGGAGCCCCTAATGCAACATGGCGGCAGGCAAGTTGCCAGTGGGCGGATAACAAGTTGTTTTGAAAATTTTCTAATTGGTCCTCCCATCTTCTGTGATCGTGGACAGCTCATGCCCCCCATGAATCTTATGCAGGGTGGACGTGCGTGCACCATAGGTGATGATCTGACCTTTACTATGATTGGCCCCCGGAGCTTCCTGGTTTAAGATAACTGACTCTCACTTTCTATATAAACTAGCACCAGCTTGCAGTAAAGTGCTTCATCTTGTCACTGCTATCTGTGTGTGTGCATTTTAATCTCCGACAACGAAACTTCTCCTTTCATATATGATGATCTCCAGTTCCATCCACATTATTGCAGATGTCAGGGTTTTATGTCTGAACACTATTCTATTTTTATTTACCATGTTTTCTTCATTCATTCATCAGTTGATTGATGGTTATCTTGTTTACAGTTTTTTTAATATTTATTTTTTAGGTGTAGTTGGACACAATACCTTTATTTAATTTATTTATTTTTATGTGGTGCTGAGGATTGAACCCAAGGCCTCGCACATGCTAGGCGAGCGTTCTACTGCTGAGCTACAACCCCTTGTTTACAATTTTTGGCTATTGTGAATAGTGCTGCAATGAACATGGGAATACAGATGTCTCTTCAGAATTCTGATTTCACTTCTTTGGGATTTATCCCCAGTAATAGAATTGTTGGATCATATGGTAGTTCTACTATAATTTTCAAGGATTCTTCATATTGTTTTCTGTAATGACTTTTACTAACTTAATAATCCCACCACAGTGTGCAAGTATTTTCTTTTCTTCATAGGTCGCTAGCTTTTACCTTTGATTTACATTTTCCTGGTGATTAGTTATGTTGAATTTTTTTTTTCCTTGCAATACTGGGGTTGAATCCAGGTTCTCAGGCACAGTAGGCAAGTTTTCTACCACTGAGCCACATCTTCAGCCCCAGCCCTTTTTTGAGACAAGGTCTTGCTAAGTTGCCCAGGCTGATCATGAACTTGTTATCTTCCTGCCTTAGCCTCCCAAGTAACTGGGATTACAGATGTGTGCCATAATGCTTGGCACTATTGAACATTTCTTAATATACCTCTTGGCCATTATATGTTGTCTTTTAACAAATGTCTAGGTTTGTTGCACATTTTAAAAAATATTTATTTTTAGTTGTCTAGGTTAGTTGCACATTTTAAAAAATATTTATTATTTTTTAGTTTATTTATTTATTTTTAGTTTATTTATTTATTTTTGTGTGGTGAGTGCTCTACCACTGAGCTATAACCCCAGCCCATGTTACACATTTTTTAATTAGGTTAATCCTTTTTTTTTTTTTTTTTTTGGCTATTGAATTTTTGAGTTCCTTATGTATTCTAGATATCAATATCAAATATACATATTATAAATATTTTCTGTCATTCTTCAGATTGTCTCTTTATTATTTCCTTTGCCGTGCAGCTTTTTTTTTTTTGATACAGTCCCACAAGTTTGTTTTTCTCTATTTCCTGTATGTTGGGGGTTTTTCTCAAAAAAATTTTTGCCTAGTTTTTTTGGGGTTTTTTGTTTGTTTGTTTGTTTGTTTTGATACCAGGGATTGAACCCAGGGGCACCCACTGAGCCACATCCCCACCCCTTTTTAAAAAGTTTTTTTATTTTGAGACAGGGTCTCACTAAGCTGCTTAGGGCCTCTCTACATTGCTGAAGCTAGCCTTGAACTTGTGATCCTCCTGCCTCAGCCTCCCAAGCTTCTGGGATTACAGGTGTGCACCACTGCGCCTTGCTAAATCTTTACCTATTCTGATGTCCTAAAGTATTTCCCTTGTATTTTCTTCTGGTGGTTTCATAGTTTCAGGTTTATATAAGTCTTTAAACTATTTTGGATTCATTTTTTGACTGATGAGAGGTAGGGGTCTAGTTTTATTCTACTGGATATAAATATCCAATTTTTCCAGCACCATTTATTTAAAAGATGGCTCTTTCTTCAATGTGTTTCTTAGCACCTATGTCAAAAGTCAGATGACTGACTGTAAATCCATGAGTTTGTGTCTAGGCTCTATTCTCTTGCATTGGTCTGTGTGTCTGTATTTATTGCTAATATTATCAGTTTAATTACTAAGCTTGGTACTCTGTTTTGAAGTCAGCATATTGTGTCCTGCTTGCTTTTTTCCCTCAAAATATCTTTGTTTATTCAGTGTGTGTGTGTGTGTGTGTGTGTGTGTGTGTCGGGGAGGTTCCGTATGAATTTTAGGACTGTTTTTTGTAGTTCTGTGAAGAATGCCATAGGTATTTTGATTGGAATTGCATTGAATCTGTGGATTGCAACTTTACTAAGTTTGTAGTGTGTAGTGTGTACCTGGCATACTAATGGGTTTTAATTTATAAGTATAAGAAGTGTATTAAGTTGTCCATGGTGGCACATGCCTATAATCCCAGCTACTCAAGATGCTCAGGTAGGAGGACCACAGATTTGAGGCTAGTTTCACCAGCTTAGCAAGACTCTCCCTCAAAATGGGCGGGGCGGGGGGGGGAAGAAGAAGAAGTGGGAGTAGCTCACTGGTAAAGTGCTTCTGATTTCAATTCCTTGTACTGCAAAAAAACAACAACAAGAATTTCATTGATAATGATTTTAGAGTCCACATTACAAGTAATTATTGAGTTTGGTGTAATAATAAAGAAGAATATCCATGATTATTTGAAAAGGTTAGTAGAATACCTCTTCCTTTTCTAGTTATATATCCGTGTAGGCTGGATTTTTTCCCCCCACATACTTAAAAGCAGTATTATCATAGTAGATCGAATGAAAAGCAGATTGAATGAATGCAGAAGCAGATAATGAGAATCTATTGTCTATTGAACCAGGTACAACAGAGATATATAAAAATGTAATGTTGTCATGCTGCTCCCTAATTTTTTAAAAAATAGCTCTTTTTCATTTGAAAGTTTACTTATGTAAATATGGGTTTAAACAGGCTGGGTTTAAATGTAGCTCAGTGGTATGTTAATTTTATTTTTTCCTTTTATTTATGTTTTGTGGTGCTGGGAATTGAACTCAGTGCCTTACATGTGCTAAGAAGCACTTTACTTCTGAGCCACATTTCCAGCCCTAATGCTATTAATTTTAAATAAATTACTAAATGTTCAAAATTTTTGTTTTACATTTTTGAAAAATATACAGTATATATTGATAGATAATAACACATGTAAAAAGAAGCTCTTCAGATTCCTCAGTAATTTTTAAGAATGTAAAGGAATCCTAAGATCAAAATTTGGATAACCTCCGAAATAGGGTCAAGTCAATAGAGTGAGTACTTAGAATCATTAACCTCCATTTTATAGTAACAGGAGAAAAGAAGTCTCTGGCTTGGCTACTTCTGTTCTTGTGTCATTCTTTTGTGAGGGTTTCTGTTACCAATAACCAAGCCAGGAAACCTGCCTGGATCCCAGCTGGCCAGTTTCAGTTACTGTTTCAGTTAGCTTTTCATCACTGTGACGAAAAGACCTGACAAGAACAATTTAGAGGGGAAAAGTTTATTTTGGCTCACAGTTTCAGAGGTTTGATATCAGATTATTGGAACAGTTTGCTGGTTGGTCACCCTGCTTTATTTTTCTCCACAGAATTTTTTAATATCTAAAATCCTTCTCAGGTGGAGTTTACCACTACTATGACATAAATATGTTCAATAAGATCCATTGTCACAAGATCAAATCTAAACTCTTATCATGGCCTATATGATCTTTTATTCCATTCACTCCCCTATGCATCCTGCAGTCCCACCCCAGGCTCTTTGAATATACTATTCTTCTTTATGATATGTATTTCTCTTATTCCCTTTATGCAAAATGTTATCCTTTTGTTTGGTAAAGATTTGCTCATCATACAAACTCCAGCTCATTCTATAGTTTTGTAAATCCTTTCTTGACTTACTGAAGTAGGAATCATCTGTTTCCTCTGTTCTTAAAGCAGTTTTCACATATACCCAATATAATATCCACTGAATTGTTATGGTTGTTTGTGTTATTTCCTTTACTTGATTTGGTGTATCTCTTGCAGATAGCTGTTCAGTCAGTATTTTTAAATTAATGACCAAATATATTTTTGAAACTTTTTCCATAGGTGCTGCAGATGATTACAATAGAATTGGTTCTTCATTATATGCTTTAGGAACTCAGGATTCTACAGATATATGCAAGTAAGGATTCTAATTAAAAACATTATTAGATATAAGCAAAATAATTTGTTGGCATACTTGTAATCTCTAGGCAGGCATTTTGGAATATTTTTGTCAAAGCATTGATAATAAGAAATGTTTTTATAAACTTGAGTTGATTCATTTTTTCTTATCTAATATTTTTTAAATCTGAAAAATAAAATAAGCTTTAGTATGTAGTTTTAGTATTTACAATCTTCTGTTAGATGAAAGTGGGATATTTATGTATTAGAGAATTTTTTAGTGTTGTTTATCATAAATAATAAATGTTATTTTGAAATTTTATATACAGGAGTTGGGGTGAGTGTGTGTGTGTGTGTGTGTGTGTGTGTATTTCATTGGAGCTTGGACTTTTTTTCCTTCCATACTGGGGAAGGAAGTGCACCCAGGGACACTTCACTGAGCTACATCCACACCCTTTTTATTTTTTTATTTTGATACAGGGTCTTGCTAAGTTCTTTAGGGCCTCACTAAGTTGCTGAGCCTGGCCTCAAACTTGGGATTCTTTATTGACTTTATGCTAGTTGTTTTAACTAGTTAATTTTAGTTGCTCCTATAATATTACTTGTTTATTGAAAAATAATTCAAATATATATTTGTTTGCTTATTTATTTATTTATGATATTGGGGATTGATCCTAGCGACTTGTGCATTCTAGGCAAGGGTTTTACCATCGAGCTCCATCCCCAGCTGTTTTTTTGGGAGTGGGGGCGGGGACCAAGGATTGAACTCAGGGGCACTCAAACATTGAGCCACATCCGCAGCCCTATTTTGTATTTTATTTAGAGACAGGGTTTCATTGAGTTGCTTAGTGCCTTGCTGTTGCTGAGGTTGGCTTTGAACTCACAATCCTCCTGCCTCAGCCTCTTGAGCCACTGGGATTACAGGTGTACGCCACTGGCCCAGCCTTAGCTGTTTTTTTTTTTTGTTTTGTTTTGTTTTGGTTTGAATATTTATTTTTTGGTTGTAGTTGTCAATACCTTTATTTTTATTTATTTATTTATTTAATGTGGTGCTGAGGCTCTAACCCAGGGTCTCGCAGGTGCTAGGCAAGCGCTCTACCGCTGAGCCACAACCCCAGTCCCTAAACCTTAGCTGTTTTATTTCTTGTATTTTGAGACAGAATCTTGCTTAGTTACTGAGGCTGACTTCAAACTTGTGATTCTTCTGCCTTAGTCTCTGGAATAGCCAGAGGCATGCACCACAACACTTAGATCAAATACATTTTATTTTATTTTATTTATTTATTTTTTTCAAATACATTTTAAAACAATGTTTCATAATTCATTTCTTTTTTCAAGACATATTCTTGAACTTTCCTCTTCTCTAAATGTGTTTAGTACACATTTAAGGGCCAATATTTGGAACAAAGCAAGAGATCATAACTTACAATAATGAAGATTCTATCTCGCCAAAGAGTTAAAATTTTTTTTCTCTTGTACTAGGGATTGAACCCAGAGGCATTCTGTCACTGAGCTATATTCCCAACCCTTTTATTATTTTTTTTTTTTAATTTTGAGACAAAGTTGCTGAGGTTGACTTTGAATTGATCTTCCTGCCTCAGCCTCCCAAGTTGCTGGAATTATAGACATGTGAAGAATTAATACTTAAGTCTTTGATAAGAAGAAAAAAATAAACCTTGCCATGCTATCAAACAATCTGTTAAGGCAAGTTGTGTTCAGTAAAACAAAGTTTATTAAATAGTGTGTTTTTTTGGCGGGGAGGGGAGGGGTGTCAGAGATTGAACTCAGGAGCACTCCACCACTAAGCCACATCCCCAGCACTATTTTGTACTTTATTTAGAGACAGGGTCTCACTGAGTTGCTTAGGCTCTCAAGGTTGCTGAGGCTTGCTTTGATCTTCTTGTCTCAGCCTCCCAAGCCAATGGGATTACAGGTGTGCACCACTGCACCTGGCTTAAATTGTGGTTTTGCTTTCTGTAGTTTGCCCTAATCCAATTATCATGCCATTTATGATTATGTATTTTACAGAATGCTTTTTAATAGTTTCACGTGGCCTTGAATATGCTGAACATACAGTCTACCATTGAGCTATAAACCTAGTCCCTGTGATACTGTTTTTTGGTTTTTGTTTTGTTTTGTTTTGGTACCAGGGGTTGAACCCAAGGGCGATTAACCACTGAGCCATATCCCCAGCCCTTTTTTATATTTTATTAGTGACAGGGTCTCACTGAGTTGCTCAAGGCCTTGCTAAATTAGTGAGGCTCATTTGAATTTGATATCCTCCTGCCTCAGCCTCTCAACCACTTGGGATTATAGGTGAGCCCACCATGCCAGGCGAGATAGTTTTTAATTGATATCAGCATTTGACAGACTGTTTAGTAAAGGGAAAATTAATTCTGAGCTAGGAATTGGTTGTTCATTTTCATTACTTTTCAAAACAAAGTAGCTATATTTGAAAATGTTTAAAATAAAACTATCACTGAGCATGTAGCACATGCTTGTAATCCCAGAAACTCAGAGGAGACTGAAGCAGGAGGATCCCAAGTTTGAGACCCAGCCTCAGCCTCTTAGTGAGATCCTCAGCAACTTAGTGAGAGTCTGTTGCAAAATAAAAAGGACTGGAGAGGTAGCTCAGTGGTAAAGTACCCCTGGATTCAATTACAGTATCAAAAATGTAAAACATAACTCTCCAGTAACTTTAAGAAGTTCTCCAGCTTCAGTACTGTCAGTCAACCTTTTGTCTCTTTCAGTGTAATTGCTTTGTATTTCTGTAATAATGTTGAAAGTACAGCCTCTATTTAGTATTATGTGATATATTACTTGAAGGAATATCAAGATAAATTTTAAGTTTGGTATATGGCTTAGATTGTGTCTTGAAATGAAATGGGGAAATTTCCTGTAACAGATTTCAAGTAATGTGTTATATTGGTGGAAGTATAGGAGGTTTTTCCTGAACTAAATGAAGTCTCCAGTTAATAAGACCATTGAATTTTTTATATTAGGAAACAATAATGCTCATTAATGAAATGGTTTGGGAACATATTCTGTAAATATCTGATGTGGGAAATTATTTCAAATGTAGCTTCTGATGAAAATATTTTTCCCTTCCAGGTTTTTCCTCAAAGTTTCAGAACTGTTTGATAAAACTAGAGTAAGTACTAAATTCTGGAGATCTACTGCATAGTGATATATCTGTACTATAATGAACAATATTGTATTGTATACTTAAAAATCTGCTAAAAGGATACATCTTGTGTCATGTATTATTACCATAATAATTTTTTTTCAAAAAGGTAATTAAGCCTTTGAGGATCTAAATCTCTGCATATAGTAATGTTTAACTTGTAGTTGTGTTTAATTTATTGAGGAAGATGAATATATTTCAGGATTATGATAGATTTTAATTCCACTGAGAGTTTTTCAGGAAGTTGTTTTTGTTAAAGAGTTTTGGTATTTGTATAAAAGAAAACATTCATTAGGAAGATAGAGTTTGGGGCTGTTGCTGGGGCTCAGCGGTAGCACACTTGCCTGGCATGTGTGAGGCACTAGGCTCAATTCTCAGCACTGCATTTGATAAATAAAATAAAAGTCTATAGACAACTTAAAAAAAAAAAAAAGAAGACCTAGTTTATTTTTTATGAAGAACAATCAATCCTTTTCTGGAGCTTTGTAAATTCAGAGGAAGTCTTAGATTCATTTTAACTATATCAAGACTGGATTGGGGCTGGGGATGTGGCTCAAGCGGTGGTGCACTCGCCTGGCATGCGTGTGGCCCGGGTTCGATCCTCAGCACCACATACAAACAAAGATGTTGTGTCTGCCGAAAACTAAAAAATAAGTATTAAAAAATTAAAAAAAAAAAAAAAAGACTGGATTATGGGCTTGGGCTGTGGCTCAGTGGTGGAGCACTTGCCTCACATGTGTGAGGTAATGGGTGTGATACTTAGCACCACATAAAAATAAATAAATAAAGATTTTTTAAAAATTTAAAAATTAAGGACCATGTTGCTTTTGATATTCTGTAACATGCTGGTTTAAAAATTAATAGTGTTATCTCAGCACCACAGAATAAATAGTAAAAACAGTGTTGGGCCTACTGGTGTAGCTCAGTGATGGAGTTGTTACATGCTTAGCATTTATGAAGCTGCAGGTTTGATCAGTAGTCCCCCGCTCCCCACAAAAATGAATAGTTTCATGGGCAAGGTGGTGCACATCTGTAATCCTAGCAGCTTGGGAAACTGAGGCAGGAGGATCACAAGTTCAAAGTCAGCCTCAGCATGTGGCAAGGCCCTAAGCAACTTAGTAAGACCCTGTCTTAAAATTAAAAATAAAATGTGCTGGGGATGTGGCTCAGTGGTTAAGTTCCCGTGGGTTCAATCTCTGGCACCACCAAAAAAAAAAAAAATTATCAATACAAGGCAAGTATACAACTATGGTAAAGTTGTACTCACTGTAGTAATAATTTACTGTAAGAATTTACTGTTAGAGTCTAGACAATATTTAACAGTTGATAAAACAGTGGAAATGTTTTTCAGCTGTTTAATGGTATTTAGCTGAGAAGTGGTTGCCAGTCCAGTATAGAAATCTGCCAATTGAGTTATGTATAGTAGGGATAAAAAAAAAGAAACTTTCTCACAAAGGACAAATGCGTAGGTGGTGACACCCTCATATCCATAATGCCATTCTTATCCCTTTCATGTTTGTATTACTGAGCATCTTCTAGGAATATATGGTGGTTTTCTGTGCATTTACATAAAAAGCATAAAGACCTATCCCAAAATATAATTGTGTCAAGTACGCTGAGAAATAGACTTCAAGATAGGATTAGATGTACAAGAGATATATTGTGAAGAATAGAAAGGAAGGAGCACAGTAGGCAGAAAGAACCTTCAGACTACAGTACAGTGTGGGAGGCCATCCTCGCATGTGATTTGATTTACCTCCCTGGCTGGGCGAGAGGCGCTTAGACACAGCTGTGTCAGAGCTATTCCCCACCCTTCTCCAGGTCTGAGGGCTTGTCCGTGCAGAGGCGTGTCTTGCCACTGCCCCAAAGACCCAGTCATCGCCCCTGACCTTGGGATGCTGCCCCCCTTAACCTTCATTGAATGGGATTTTCCCTGGAATTTTTTGTTCCCCAATAAAAGCCCACTCCCTGGCGTGTTCTCTCTCTCTTGCTAGTCTCTTCTGTAAACCTCGCTACCGCATTAGGTGGCTGGGGGGCGGGAGCTAGGAGAAGCCGTCCCATATACATGTGGCTTTTTCCACAAGACTGCTTGTGTTTTACAACCTGGTGTTTAGTTTCTAGAAGTGAGCCACCCCATATAACAGGAATTGAAAGCTACTGGTTTGTTAAAGCTGAGACCTGGAAACGGGCACAGTGCTTACCACTGGTCAGTCTAAGAACCTTGATTTAAGGGGTGAGGGCATGCAGCCTACTTTTCAATGGTAGGAGGGGAGTCATAATTTAAAACACCCATACTATCTACTATTATCAATCTAAATAAATTTTTAGCATACTTTGTAAGAAATTCCTGGGCTGGGTTTGTAACTCAGTGGTAGAGCACTTGCCTCACATGAACAGGGCCCTGAGTTTTAATCCCCAGCACTTCAAAAGAAAAAGGATTCCGTAAGTTTATTTCTCCACAATGTAGTAATTTTTAGAAGCTTCAAGTTTTTTTAACCTTCTATTGCAGTATATTAGATAAATAGTCATATATACATCAGAAGTGTATATGTGACTCAGTGAAATTTCACAATTGTTGTCAACACCAAGATCAAGAAATAAAACATTACCAGCTTCACAGAATGCCCTGCCCCTCTTCACCTACCTCATAAGACACCACTTTCCACAAAAGGAATACTTTCCTAGTTTCTGACACTAGAGATTTATTTTGTTTCTGTTATATAAATGCTTACGTAGTATGTATTCTTTATGTCTAGTTTTATTTATTCAACATTGATCCCCATGTTGTTGCATACATGTAGTTCCTTTTTTCTGATTGCTGTATAGTATTCCATTAATTTATCTCTTTTACTTTTAGTTGGTAGTCATTTGTATAGTTTGTTTGGGGTTCTGTATGTCGGTGTTATTGATTGTGATACTGGGCTTGAACTCAGTGGTTCTCTCCCACTGAGCTACATTCCCAACCCTTTTTATTTTGAGACAGGGTCTAAGTTGCTGAGACTGGCCTTGAACTTGTGATCTTCCTGTTTTAGCCTCCAGAGTCCCTGGGATTACAGGTGTGCACCAGTGTGCCCAACAGGGGTTCTTATTTTGTATATTGGAAATTGAAGCCAGAGATGCTTTATCACTGAGCTGCATCCCCAGTTCTTTTTATTAGGCAGTAGGATCTCACTAATTGCTGAAGCTGGCCCTGAATTTACAATCCTCCTGCTTTAGCCTACCAAGTAGCTGGAATTATAAGCGAGCACCACTGCCCCCAGCGGGTCTGGGATTCTTTACAGATACTACTGTTAAGACAATTGTATGGGCTAGGGTTTAGCTCAGTGGTAGAGCGCTTGCCTAGTATGTGTGAGGCACAGAGTTTGATCCTCAGCATCACATAAAAAATAAATAAAATAAATTTATTGTGTCCATCTACAACCAAAAATATTTTTAAAAAAGACAATTGTATATCCTTGGCAGAACTCCAGTATACATTTCTGTTGGTTTATATAACTAGGAAGCAAATTGGTGGATCATAAAGTATTCATATGTAAAGCTTCAGTAGATACTGCCAATTTGTTTCCCAAAGTGATTGTACCAATTTATACTTCTAGCAGAATGAATGAGAACATTCAGGTTATTCCACAGCTTGCTGGTGTGCATGTAGGGTTTTTTGTTTGTTTTTAACTTTTGATGATAATTTCATATTTATAGTAAAGTTTAAAAATAGTACATATTTATTCTGTTTTGTATCCTTTTGTGTACATCTCTCCTTTTTTACAGATAAGAATTATTAGATTTAATATGGCCCTTACTGTTATCCATGATTATGTCACCAAATGCCCAGTGTATAGATTTTTCCCTGTTATCTCATAAGTAGCTTTTTTACAGTGTAGTCTGAGTCAGAATCCAAATGAAGCCCGATATTGCATTTGATTGACATTATACATTTCTCTTATCCTAGGTCTCTCCAGATTCAAAGAGTTCTCATCTTTTTAAGTCTGGCATGGCTACTTCCCATTTCCATCCCAGCTCAATTTACTACATTTTGATGCTTCTTTGGTGTCCTCAAGTACTTTTTATTAATGCTTTGACCAGATTTTCTACTTAAGAAGGTTTGGTTTGAATTATCTAATCTGCCATTGCCAGCCTTTGTTATCTTAAAATCATATGTACATAGCACTTGCCATTGAAATAAATAGATAAATGAAGCTATTGATGTTGACACCTGTTGTAGCCAAGAACTGGAATCAGATATAAAATCTTTCTATAAGTTCACTAATGTCATTGATCTGATTTTTCTGTTCGTATTTTGTCAGGGGATGTGGCTCAAGCGGTAGCGCGCTTGCCTGGCATTCGTGCGGCCTGGGTTCGATCCTTAGCACCACATACAAAACATTTTGTCAGAGTTGCAAAGAAAAGCAAAAAACTAGAAGGAAGGAAAAAGGAAAGAAAGCTAGATAAAACAAACAGATACTGCAGTTATTTATAACTTTAATTTTTTTCGTAATTATTAATGAGAATGTTGAGTGATGATTTATTGATTTCATACCCAGTTTCCCCCCTTTTTTCAGAAAATAGAAGCAAGAGTATCTGCTGATGAAGACCTCAAACTTTCTGACCTTTTGAAATATTACTTAAGAGAATCTCAAGCGGCTAAGGTAACTTTATTGTTCGTTTCTTTACAGGTTGCTGGACTTAAACTGTTTAAAGGATGGCTTATTTTTGGATATTATATTTTCAAATGTAAATTTTTTTTTCTCCTCTTGGAATTGTAGATCAGGGAATCCCACATAAAAGTTTATAAACTTTTTGGGGCTGGGATTGTGGCTCAGAGGAAGAGTGCTTGCCTCGCATGCATGAGGCACTGGGTTCGATCCTCAGCACCACTTAAAAATAAAATAAAGATATTGTGTCTGTAACTAAGAAATAAATATATATTCTTTTTAATTTTTATTGTTGGTTGTGAAATAAATATTTTTTAAAAAGTTTATAAACCTTTGATATAATATGATCTAGAAATTTAAAACCAAAAATTTGGTATATTTCTTTAGGTAAACTCCTGCAAAAACATAAATGAAGTTTGTATGAGTCCTCCATCGAGGATGAAAGCACCATGAAACAAAAACATGCTTAATTTTAGGGCAACTCACATTTCTTGTTAGAAAGCTATGTGCAAAAAACCTCTTAGTAATCAAAAACATTTTTTAAAATATTTTTTTAGTTATAAATGGATCTTTTATTTTATTTATTTATTTATATGCAGTGCTGAGGATCGAACCCAGGGCCTCACAGATGCCAGGCAAATACTCTACCATTGAGCCACAACTCCAGTCCTCAAAAACATTTTTTAACATAGATGTCTACAAAGCACTAAAAACTTAAGATATTCTACAGAAATTCCTATCTGATCAGAGGTATTGATTTTTTTTTGGTACTGGAAATTGAACCCAGGGCCACTTTAACCACTGAGCCAAATCCCCATTCAGGTTTTTTTTTTTTTTTTTAATATATTTTATTTAGAGACTGGGTCTCACTAAGTTGCTTAGGGCCTTGCTAAGTTGCTGATGATGGCTTTGAACTTACAGTCCTCCTGCCTCAGCTTCCAGAGCTACTGGAATTATAGACATGTACCACCATGCCTGGCTGACTTTTTTTTTTTTTTTTTGTACTAGGGATTAAATCCAGGGGCGCTTTAATTACCAAGCCACTTCCTGGTCCTTTTAAAAAAAAAAAAAATATATATATATATATACTTTTTAGTTGTACGTAGACACAATAGCTTTATTTTATTTTTTTGTGGTGCTGAGGATAGAACCCAGTGCCTCACACTTGCTAGGTGAGTACTCTGCCACTGAGCTACAACTCCAGCCCCTCAGTTCTTTTTTGTATTTTATTTAGACATAGGGTCTCACTGAGTTGCTATAGCGCCCTGATAAGTTGCTAAGGCTGGCTTTGAACTAGTGACCCTCCTGCCTCACCCTCCTGAGCCGCTGGGATTACAGATGTGTATCACCTCGCCCAGCCTGGCTGACAGTTTTTATCAAATAATCAAAAACCTTTTAATTTTAATTTTGAGTATTTAGACACTTATAAGTATATGGTCCACAGCTGGGTGCTGTGGTATATGCATGTAATTCAAGCATCTTTGGAGGCTGAGGCAGGAGTATCACAAGTTCAAGGTTAGTCTTAGCAATTTAGTGAGATCTTATGTCAAAATAAAAAGGACCAAGGATGTGGTCAGTGGTAAAGGGCCTCAGGATTCAATCCCCAGTACAAAAAAAAAAAAGTATATTGTTTTATTTTACACAAGACAACAAATATGTACTTATTTAATATACATTGTAAACACTTAACCAGAGACTTAATTTAAAACAAAAGCAAGTTATATCACTTCTGGGTGTTTACCCACAAGAAGTGAAGTCATATTTCTATGCATACCTTCACAGCGATTTTATTTGTAGTAGTTTTAAACTGGTAACAACACAGATGTCTAGACAGACTGTGCTATTGGCATACAATGGAATACCACTCAACAATAAAACGGAATGAGCTACAGATAAGATGAAACTATGTGATGAACTTAAAAGTAATTTGGGGCTGGAATGAAGCTCAGTTGTAGAGCACTTGCCTAGCATGCATGAGCCCCAACATGTGGCAAATGAATAAATGACCCCACTTTATTTTTGTTTGTTTTATTTACGGAATGAAAGAAACCAGGCAGGGCTGGGGATGTGGCTCAAGTGGTAACGCGCTCGCCTGGCATGCGCGGAGCACTGGGTTCGATCCTCAGCACCACATAAAATAAAGATGTTGTGTCTGCCGAAAACTGAAAAATAAATATTAAAAAAAAAAGACCAGGCAACAAAGTCTCCCACCCATGTCCCACCCTGGTGGTGGGAATGGGGTTCCCTTCAGTGGAATGGGCTAGCTGAGAAATAAAAGCTAGGAAAAATAGAACCGTAGAACATAAAAAGTAGTTTCAAAAGCAGGGGCAGGACTGGCAAGCTGACCAGACAGATCAGGCTCCTGACAAAATGGGGCCTGTGCCTGCTTTATTTATATCCAGAGACATTGAAGAGATTCTATAAAATGTTCTTTTCCAAAAAAGGTTAAAGGTGGCTGGGGTTGTGGCTCAGTGGTAGAACATTTGCCTCACATGTGTGAGACACTTGATTCAATTCTCAGCACCACATATAAATAAATGAATAAAATAAAGGTCCATCAACAGCTAGCTTAAAAAAAAAAAAGGTTAAAGGTAGGCTGTTCAGTCATTAATGGGTTATGCCATCTCTAGTGCTACTATGAGGAACCTTTCTAGCAGAGCAGAGGGGAAGGTCACATGCTTTTGGCTGTCTGTCACTGCAGGAGAGCCTCTAGAAGTTCCCAATGCCAGGCCTATCCCTCCTTGGCTTCCATGCCAAGAGAAGGTCCTCATGTATTTCATGGATGGCTTCCCGCCAAAATCTATAGTTTACAGTCTTGATTTTGTGTGTTCTTTGGGTTTGGAAAAGGTATAGACGTACCATTATTATAGTATCATATAGGATAGTTTCAGTGACCTAAAAATGTGCTATGTTCTGTCTGTTCATCTTCTCTATCCCCAGCCTGATATGGTTTTTATTTATTTTATTTTTTTGATTTATTTTTATTATTATTGATTGTTTTTTAAGACAGGGTTTGTGTTGCCCAAGCTGGTCTTGAACCCTGGGCTCAATAATCTTGCTGCCTCAGCCTTCTGAGTAGTTGGAACCATGAGCATGTGCTACCATACCTGGCTAACCACCTATCTTTTACTGTCTTCATAGTTTTGCTTTTCCTGAGTGTCATGTAATTGGAATCATACAGCATGTGGCCTCTTCAGATTGACTTCTTTCACTTAGTAATAAGCATTTAAATTTCTTCTGTTGTCTTTTCTTGGCTTGATAACTAATTTCTTTTAATGATATGTAATATTTCCTTATTTGGATATACCATAGCTTATCCATTCATCTACTAAAGACCATGTACGTTGCTTTCAAGTTTTAGCAATTATAAATAAAGCTGCTATAAATACCGGTGTGCAGGCTTGTAAAGACATTCATTGGTGTAAGTAAAGAGTGCAGTTGCTGGGCTGGGGCTGTGTAGCTCAGTGGCAGAGCGTTTCCTTAGCATGTGTGAGGCACTGAGTTCGAGCCTTAGCACCATATAAAAAAATAAATAAAGGCATGCTGTCCATCGATAAATTTTTTTTTAAGTGAAATTGCTTTGTCATAGAGTAAGACTGTTTAATTTTGTAAGAAACCACCAAACTGGGGCTGGGGATGTGGCTCAAGCGGTAGCGCGCTCACCTGGCATGCGTGCGGCCCGGGTTCGATCCTCAGCACCACATACAAACAAAGATGTTGTGTCCGCCAAGAAAACTAAAAAATAAATATTAAAATTCTCAAAAAAAAAAAAAAAAAAAAAGAAACCACCAAACTGTCTTCCAAAGTTGGTGTACCATTTCTACTAGCAATGTCTGTATCCTTGCCCGCATTGGTGTATATTGTCAGTGTTCTGGATGTTGGCCATTCTAATAGATATATAGTGGTATTTCATTGTCTCCCTCCCTCCTTCCTTTCCTTCTTTCTCTTTCTCTTTTTCACTGAGCATTGAACCCAGGAACACTTTGCCACAGAGCTACATCCCCAGTCCTTTTTATTTTTTTTTTTTATTTTGAGACAGGATCTAAGTTGTTGGAGTCTCACTAAGTTGCTGAGGCTGCCCTCGAACTTGCAAACCTCCCTTGGCCAGTCCAGTCACTGGGATTATAAGCATGTTACCTTGTATTTTAATTCAAATTTCTCTAAAATGATGTGAAACATGTTTCCATATGCTGATCTGTCTTGTGTTTTGTTTTTGGTAAGGTGTCTCTTGCCCATTTTTTTCTTGATATTTATTTTTTAATTATAGGTGGACACAGTGTCTTTATTTTACTTTATGTGGTGCTGAGAATTGAACCCAGTGCCTCACACATGCTAGGCTCATGCTCTATCTCTGAGCCACAACCTCAGCCCTCTTTTGCTCATTTTTAAGTTGGATTGTTTATATTTTTTCCTAGTCTGTGACTTGTCTTCTCATTTTCTTTTTTTTTAATGTGGTGCTGGGTTTGAACTTGTGCATGTGGGGCAAGCACTCTACCAGTTGAGCTGTATCCCCTTGTCTTCTCATTTTCTAGGGAGCATCTTTTGCAGAAAAATTTTTATTTAAAAACAAACAAACAAAAAAACAAACTTATTTTGGTGCTGGGAATCAAACTCAGGGCCTCATTAGTGCTCGGAAAGTGTTCTACCATACCCCCCAGCCCTTCTAGGAGTTTTATAGCCTTTCCTTTTATATTTAGGTTTATGGTTCATTTTAGTTAACTTTTGTGAAGGGTGTAAAATCTAAGTAAAATTTAAACATTTTTTATTGCATGTGGATTTTTATTTGTTTCAGAACCTCTTATTACCGCGTTGTGGCATACACCTGTATTCCTAGCAATTTGGAGGCTGAGGCAGGAGAGAAGCACAAGTTTAAGGCCAACCTCAGCAACTTAGTGAAACCCTTTCTCACCCCCAAAAAGAGGGCGGTGGACTGGGAATGCATCTCAGTGGTAAAGTGTCCTTGGGTTCAATCCCCAGTACTAAAAAAAAAAAAAACAAACAAACAAACCCAGAACTCTTTGAAAAATCTCTTTGTTCTTTGTCTTATCTTTGCTCCTTTGTGAAAAGATCAATTGACTGTATTTGTGTGGTTCTGTTTCTGGGCTGTTTTTGACCATGTTGCTAAAACAATGTTCCATTGATCTATTTGTCTATTCTTTCATCATACAAAACCATCTGTAGTATAGTAAGACTTGAAATTGGGTAATGTTAGTCTTGCAACTTTGTTCTCCTTCCATATTGTGTTGGCTATTGTAGGTTCTTTGCCTCTCTGTTTAAACTTTAAAATCAGTTTGTTGACATTTACAAAGTAACTTGCTGGGATTTTGATTGAATTGCATTGAATATGTAAATCAAGTTTGAAAGAATTGCTATCTTAAAAAAAGAAAAAGAATTGCTATCTTGAAAATATTGAGTCTTTCTGTCCATGAATATGGAATATCTATCTATTTAGCTTTAGCTTCCTTCTTTCTTTCTTTCTTTCTTTCTTTCTCTCTCTCTCTCTCTCTCTCTCTCTCTCTCTCTCTCTCTCTTCTTTCTTTCTGGTTGGGGGTGGGGTACCAGGGATTGAACTCAGGGCCACTCAAATACTGAGCTACATCCCCAGCCCTTTTTTGTATTTTATTTAGAGATAGGGTCTCACTGAGTTGCTTAGTGCCTCACTTTTGCTGAGGTTGGCTTTGAACTCAAAATCCTCCTGCCTCAGCCTAAGGCACTGGGATTACAGGCATGCACACTGCACCCAGCTTCTTTTATTTCTTTCATCGGAGATTTGTAGTTTTCTTCATGCAAATCTGGTATATCTTTATGAAATAAATGTCTAAGTATTTAATTTTGTTTCATTTTGGGGAGTGTTACTGTAATTTCTTTTTTTTTTAACAAATTCCAATTGTTCATTACCGATATGTAAGAATGTGGAGGCACAAGCCTGTAATCCCAGTGGCTCAGGAGGCTGAGTGAAGAGGATCTGGAGTTCAAAGCCAGCCTCAGCAAAGATGAGGTGCTTAGCAACTCAGTAAAACCCTGTCTCTAAATAAAATATAAAATAGTGCGGGGATGCAGCTCAGTGGTTGAGTGCCTCTGAGTTCCATCCCCAGTACCCCCCCCCCAAAAAAAAGTGATTTACTTTTGTATATATTAACCTTGTGTCCTCCAGTCTTGTTATAATCATTTATTAGCTCCTATTCCCTCCAGGAGATTTTTTTTTTTCCCTTTATTTCAGATTTTCTGCACAGTCAGGCCTATGAACAAAGACAGTGTTATTTCTTCTTCCTGATCTGTATGCCTTTTATTTCTCTTTCTTATTGCATTAATTAGGACTTTTACAGTGTTGAAAGTAGTGATTAGAAGAGACATCCTCCTTGTTTTATTTCTGATCTTAGCAGAATACTTTTAGTTTCTCCCATTGAGTATGATGTTTTTTGGAGATTTTTTTCTTATTGAGTTGAGGAAAATTTCCTTCTAGTTTGAATTTACTGAGTCAGTCAACTGATTTTTGACAGCATTGCTAAGATAATGCAGTAGGGACAAGAATGATTTTGTTGGATGAGGGGGCCCATGCCTATAATTCCAGTGGCTCTGGAGGCTGAGGCTGGAGGATTGCAAGTTTAAAACCAGCCTCAGTAAAAGGGAGGCGCTAAGCAACTCAGTGAGACCCTGTCTCTAAATAAAATACAAAATAGGGCTGGGGATGTGGCTCAGTGGTTGAGTGCCCATGAGTTCAATCCCTGGTATTCTCTGCGCGCACCCCCCACCCCCCCCACCCCGCAAAAAAAAATGATTTCAACAGCTGATACTGGGACAGCTATAGCCACATGCAAAAGGATGAAATTTGACCCCTTCCTAACAGAACATATAAAATAGCTAAAACTGAAAAACTTTTAGAATACTACCCAGACATAAATTTTCTTGATCTTGGATTAGTTAGGTAATGGTTTAAGCTTATCAACCAGTGAGAAAAATAAAACAAACTCTATTAAAATTAAATTGTCACTGGGTACTGTAGCACATGCCTGTAATCCCAGTAACTCAGGAGCCTGAGGCAGGAGGATCATGAGTTTGAGGTTGGCTTATGTGATTTAGTGAAATCTTGTCTCAAAATAAAAAGGGCTGGGAATTTGTCTCAAATTCCTGGATTCAATCCCAGTATTAGAAAAATAAATACATTAATTAATAAACTTAAATATTGTATATGTCAACTTACAAACGTATCTGTATAATGAAATAGTATTTTGCAATAGAAAGGAACGAAGTAACTAATTTATGTTACAGTGTGGATGAACTTGAAATTTACTAAATGGTAGAAGCCACAGACACAAAAGATGCATATTATATGATTCAGTTTTTATGAAATGTTCAGAATAGACCAATCTGTACTAGATTAATAGCCACGTATTGCACGCCTGTAATCCCAGCTGCTCAGGAGGTGAGGCAGGAGGATTGCAAGTTTGAGGCCAACCTGGGCAACTTATTGAGATACTGTCTCTAACAAACCAACCAGTGGTTGGGGGGTGGGGCAAAGTATTTAGTTCAGTGATACAGTACTTGCTAGCGTATGCTAGGCTTCAGAGTGCTAAAAAAGAAGAAAGAAAGAAAAAGTGAAGGGAACAAAAGCAGAGTAATGGTTGCCCAGGGCTAAAATTGGTTGTGATGATGGTTTTATAATTGTCAACATACTAAAAACCATTAAATTTTGTAGTTTGTTTATTTTATTAGCTACACATGACATTACAATGATCTTGGCAATTCATATATTTAAATCAATTGGAGTATAATTTCTCATTTTAAATTTTGTAGTTTAAATGGTATGTATGGTGTGAATTATGTCTCAGTAAAGATGTTAATTAAAAAAGACATTTATGGCCTGGGGGTGTAACTCAGTCAATGGTAGAGTGCTGCATGTGCAAGGTCCTGGGTCAGAACAGAATAAATAAACAAAAAAGTAACTGTATTATTCACTATATAATTTTATATCTGGAGGTGGTGGTAGTGGAGATAGTAGAGTGAAACTACTAGAAACATAACATCATACATTATGATACATTGTTTTATAGGATCTCCTCTACCGAAGATCTCGATCACTAGTGGATTATGAAAATGCTAACAAAGCACTGGATAAAGCAAGAGCGAAAAATAAAGATGTTCTACAGGCTGAAACTTCCCAACAATTATGTTGTCAGAAGTTTGAAAAAATATCTGAATCTGCAAAACAAGGTACTGTTAACTTACCTTTTAATCACAAGATATGCTTCATGATTATTATGTGAATTAACTCTAATTTATTTTTTTGTTGTTGTTCACAGAACTTATAGATTTTAAGACAAGAAGAGTTGCTGCATTTAGAAAAAATTTAGTGGAACTTGCAGAATTAGAACTGAAGCATGCAAAGGTAGTATTGTGTTAAAAGATTTAATAAATTTAAATGACATGACATTTAAAATTGAGTCAGTTATAAAATTGATAATCCTATAATGATAGTTACCTTCTATGAGGACATCCTAAGAACTGTTTTTGAATGAGAATTATGTTTTCCAAGATGATTACACTGCTTCAAAATAGTTGGTTTAACTTTTTACTAGGGATTGAACTCAGGTGCTTTACCACTGAGCTACATCTCCAGTTCTTTATTTTGTTAAGACAGAATCTTGCTAAATTGCTCTGAGTTGCAGGGATTATAGGCATGCCCCACCCTGTTAAATATTTGGTTTTAGTAAATAAATGGCTTCCTTCTGGTATTTGTTTGGTATTTGTTTACTTTGAAGTAAACCTCTTTTTATTATTATTTTTTTTTCAGTTATAGATGGACACAGTAACTTTATTTGTAATTTTTATGTGGTTCTGAGGATTGAACCCAGTGCCTCACATGTGCTAGGTGAGCACTGTACTTCTGAGCCACAACCTCTTCTTGCATGTAATATAAAGATAAAGCTTGGCTCAAACTATGGTATTTTTTTTATTTTTATTTATTTATTTTTTTTGTGGTGCTGGGGATTGAACCTAGGGCCTTGTGCATGCAATATAAGCCCTCTACCAACTGAGCTATAATGCCAGCCCTCAAACTATGGTAATTTTAAAAATAGATAATCTCAGAATTGGGAAATATTTTAAAGATTATTTAATTCAAGCAAGAATATTGCTCTGAAAGAATCTAGGACCTAACAGGAAAATATTTTTTAACTAGTTTTTTTTTTTTTTTTCTAAGTATTTTTAGTTTTAAAAAAAAAAAAGAAAGAAAGAAAATTGTTGATGGTGAACACACGGTTTTGGGAACTTTTTTTTGTGTATTTGTGGTTCTGGGGTTTGAACACATGCTGGGTATGCACTTTACCACCAAGCTATACCCCCAGCATTGTAAGTTTTTTATATTAAAGAAATTTTAAAAAGAATAAACCAAAAATGTTTATTTAACATTTCTATCTTTAGAGAGACTATAAATACAAAATGTATTTAAATTTCTCCAAGAAATTAATATAAACTTTTAGGTTTTTTTTTTTGTTGTTGTTGTTGTTGTCATTTTTGTTTTTTGGGGGTCAGTTAAACCAATAATGTTTATTATTAAGGATAGGTACCTTTAAGGGTTAATATCCTTTAAGGATATTAACCCTTAAAGGTACTTCACTACTGAGCTATATCCCCACCCATCCCCCCCCCTTTTTTTTTTTTTTTTTTTGTACTGGGGATTGAACTCAGGGGCACTCCACCACTGAGCCACATCCCCAGCCCTATTTTGTATTTCTTTAGAGACAGGGTCTCACTGAGTTGCTTAGTGCTTCACTTTTGCTGAGACTGGCTTTGAACTGGTAATTCTCCTGCCTCAGCCTCCCGAGCTGCTGATATTACAGGTGTGTGCTACTCCACCCGGCTATTTTTTATTTTGAGACAGGTTCTTGCTAAATTGTTGAGGCCTGCCTCCAAATTGCTGTCCTCCTGTTTCAGCCTCTTGAGTCACTGGTATTACAGAAATGTACTACCACACCCAGTTTAAGTGTAATTTTTTTGATAGATTAGAGCATTTACATTCTTAAATTCTTAAACCTAAAAATTGTACCAAGGTATTTGGAACCCCCTATAAGGAATACAGATCTGCATCAACTAATGAATAGGTCTAAAGTAATGAAGATAAATTTAATTCCCCTTTTATAATTTAGACCTTACATAAGGTACCTTTTTTTATAAGATAGCTTTTGTGTCTATTTCTGTGTTGATAGGTATTGAACCCAAGACCTTGAGAAAACCAAGATGTGTTCTACCAGTGAATTACATCTGAGCCAAGATAGCTTTTTTCACTGCCATATTGCACTGGCTGGACTTGGCTTATAATGATACCTTTTTCAGTATGTTAATTCTTCGCTAGGTGTGGTGGTGCATGCCTGTAATCATAGTAACTTGGGAAGCTGGAGGATCCGAGTTCCAGGCCAACCTCAGCAATTTATGGAGGCCCTCAGCAACTTAGCAAGACCCTGTCTCAAAATAAAAAGGATTGGGGGGCTAGGGTTGTAGCTCAGTGGTAGAGCACTTGCCTTGCATGCATGAGGCACTGGGTTTTATCCTCAGCACCACATAAAAATAAATAAATAAATAAAATAGATTGTGTCCATCTACATTGTTTATATTTAAAAAAAAAAAAGGATTGGGGATGTGGCTCAGTGGTTAAGCACTCCTGGGTTCATTCCCCAGTAACCCCCCTCCCACAAATGTTTTGTTAAGCTTGGCATGATTTAATCTTATTGAACCTGTGTTGGTTTCTAATGTCCACTGTTTTATTCTTTTTTTAAAGAGATTTGAACTAGCAAGAATTCTGTTGTAAGGGCTGGGGATGTAGCTCAATGGTACAGTACTTGCCTAGCACGGGCAAGGCTGTGGTTCAATCCACAGCACCACCATCACCACAACCAAAAAAATTATTAAATTTTGTAGATTAGGGGTTGGCAAACTAGTCTGTTTTGGTACAGTCTGTGAGCCAAGAATGATGTTCACATTTTTAAATGTTTGTTTAAAAGCAAATGAAGAATAGTGATAATTACATGAAATTCAAACTTAAGTATCTGTAAATAAGATTTTCTTGGAACACAGCCATTCATTCGAGTTTGTCTCTGGCTGCTTATGCCATGGAGTAGTTGGAACAGAAACCAAATGTCTCTCCAGTGCAGAAATATTTACTGTTTAGTCTTTCGCAGAAAAAGTTTGCTGATTTCTGCCTCTGGTTTCTAGACTCTGTACCTTTATAAACCTTTTGAAATGAGTTTTTCTCTGTATTCAAATTTCTTCCCCCTCCCCCATTCTTTTTTTGTGGGGATGGGGGGCAGGTACCTGGGATTGAACTTGGAGGCATTCCACCAGTGAGCTACATCCCCACCCCTATTTTGTATTTTATTTAGAGACAGGGTCTCATTGAGTTGCTTAGTACCTCACCATTGCTGAGGCTGGCTTTCTCTATATTATTTGTTTATTTATTATTTAATTATTTTTTTAAATTTTATATATGACAGTGGAATACATTACAATTCTTATTACACATATAGAGCACAATTTTTCATATCTCTGGGTGTATACATAGTATATTCACACCAATTTTTGTCTTCATATGTGTACTTTGGATAATAATGATCATCACATTCCACCATCATTAATAACCCCATGCCCCCTCCCTTCCCCTCTAACCACTCTGCCCTATATAAAGTTCTCTATTCCTCCCATACTCCCCCTCCCTACCCCACTATTTTTTTTCTTTCTTTTTTTTTTTAACCATATGATTTATTTTTATTTTTTTTTAGTCATACATGACAGCAGAATGTATTTTGACATATAATACATACATGGAATGTACATATATCAATCATAATGTCTATTCTATTCTGCTGCCCTTCCTATCCCCCCTACTCTTCCCCTCCTCTCCCCTCCTTTCTCTCTATCCAATCTAATGTGACACACTTTTTTTTTCTTTTTCTCATCACAACATCATATATGTATTCTGTATAACAATGAGGTTCTCCTTCCATCTTCCGTGCAACTCTCCTTCTCCCTCTTTTTTCCTCCCACCTCTCTTCCCTATTTAGTGGTAGTCTTCTTCTCATGCTCTTCCTCCCTATCCCATTTTGAGTCACCCCCCTTATATCAGAGAAGACATTCGGCATTTGTTTTTTTAGGGATTGGCTAACTTCACTTAGCATAATCTGCTCTAATGCCATCCATTTGCCTGCAAATGCCATGATCCTGTTATTTTTTAGTGCTGAGTAATATTCCATTGCCTACCCCACTATTTTTAAACAAAAGTTTATTCTTAAATTTGCAACAGACTTCAAGATAACACTTCATTCTAGCTTTAGGGGGCAAAAGATACTATAGCAGGGAATTCAGATATTTAAATATGAATGAAATCAAGGTCACACATCTTCATCTCAGGCTCAAACAACTACTTACTTTTTGACAGATTTCTTAATTTCTCCTGTGGCCTAGGGGTCTTTTCCCACAGGCCTTCACATTTAGCTTCTCTAGTTTCTTCTCTTTTTGTTTCTGCTCATCTTCCTCATCCATGTCTTGAGCTGTTTCAGGAGCTACTTGCCACTTTTGTAGCTGGACATTGTTCCTGCCTCCTGTTTCCTAGACCCTGCTCATTGTATTCAGATTCTCTTAAATGCTTTTGAAAATCTGAACAATCCCATTTTTTAAATTATAAGATTTGTACATCTTTATGAGGTACATTATGGTAATTCAGTACATGTACACAATGTAAAATAATGAAATCAGTAATAAGTATTTCCATTTCTCCAACATTCATCATTTTTATGTATTGGAAATTTTCATACTCTACTGGTTTTGAAACATAGTTATTTATTTTATGGTTCAGGGATTTGAACCTGGGGGTACTTTACCATTGAGCTATATCCCCAGCCCTCTTTTTATTTTTTATTTTGAGAAAAGGGTCTCACTAAATTGCCTAGTGTGGCCTCAGTTTTAGGATCATTCTGCATCAGCCTCCTGGGCAGCTGGTATTGTAGGCATGGACCTCCTCATCTTGTTGTTGTAGATTAAACAAACACTAGTTACCCTACTGTGCTAAAGAAAACCCAAAAGTAATTCTTCCACTCTGTTTTGATGCCCTTTATGGAACTTGTTCCATCTTTTATCCCTGCCCTTCCCAGTTGATTCCATTGTAGAATCCACATAAATTGTTTTGAAAATACTAGATATTAGTAAAATGTACAGTAAGGTGGTTGGAAACTACTTTGGATTTCACTTATTATAGTTTTGCCTTGCCACATGATTGAAATCCAGTTATAACTGCAAGCTAGATTAGATCACTCGTATTCTTTTTTTAAAAAAATAATTTATTTTTTAGTTGTAGTTGGACAAAATACATTTATTTTTTTTTATTTTTATGTGGTGCTGAGGATCAAACCCAGGGCCTCACATGTACTAGGCAGCACTCTACCCCTGAGCCACAACCCCAGAGCCAGATCACTTGTATTCTTGAACATAGTCTTATTGTTCCCCGCACTGGAGATCTAACCCAGGCTAAGCACATGCTTCCCTGCTGAACTATACCCCCAGCTTCTCCACTGACATTTTTGAAGAGTACAGGACTATTTATAGAATACTCCTGTTTAGTTAGCTTTTTCATTGCTGTGTCAAAAATAACTAATAAGAACAATTTTAGAGGAGGAAAAGTTTATTTAGGGCTCACAGTTTCAGGGGTCTCAGTCCAGAGATGGTCAGCTCTATTCCTTGAGGCTTGAGCTGAGGCAGAACATCAAGGCAGAGGAAAGAAGCTCAGGTCATGGCACCAAGAAGCAAGAGAGAGAGAAAGAGAAAGACAGACTCTGGCTCACCATGGACAAAATATAAACCCCTAAACTAACTTTTTTAAAAAATTGGGGAGCTAGGGTTGTGGCTCAGAGGTAGAGCGCTTGCCTACCATGTGTGAGACACTGGGCTTGATCATCAGCACCACATAAAAATAAAATAAAGATATTGTGTCCACCTGTAACTAAAAAATAAATACAAAAAAAAAAAAAACCAAAAAAACCTTTTATACCAGGGATTGAACCCAGGAGGGTTAACCATTGAGCCACATCCCCAGTACCAACCCACCCCCACCCCCCAAAGAAAGATACTTTATACTTTGTAGTTATGAGGGAGGTATTCTGTGGAGAGAAGTACTTTGGGACTATATAAATATCCCATAACCAGTACTTTCCAGTATAACTTTGTACAGTAATAGCAGTGTTCTAGAATCAGCACTGTCCAGTATGATGACCACTGATCACTTTTAGCTGTCAGACACTTAAGATATGGGTAGTGCTGCTGCAGAACTGAGTTTTTAACTTCATTTAATTTTAATTGATGAAAACTAGTTACTTATGGCTAGTAACTGTAGTATTGACAGTGTATTTCCACATTGCTTTTAGGATCCATTGATGAAAGCTAGGTGCTACACTGTAATCCCAGCAACTTGGGAGGCTGATGTAGGAAGTTCAAGGCCAGTCTGGACAACTTAGTGAGACCCTGTATCAAAAATATGAGAAGGGTAGGGGATGTAGCTCAGTGATAAAGTGCCTCTGGGTTCAATCCCTAGTACTCATTCACCCCCACAAAAGTGTCTGGGGATGTAGCTCAGTGGTAGAATACCCTGAGTTTAATCCCCAGTATTATGTCCCACCTACCCCACCCCACCCCCCACCAAAAAAATAATGATTCTTGCCTGAATCACTTTTTTTTATGATAGTTGCCAAATGTCGATTTCCTTCCTCCTTTTGAGTGTGTGTGTGTGGGTACTAGGAATTAAACCCAGAGGCCCTTTACCACTGAGCCATAGCCCTACCCCTTTTTTAAAATTTTGACATAGGGTCTCATTAAGTTGTCGAGGCTGTTCTTGAATTTATGAGCCTCAGCTTCCAGAATCACTGGGATTATAGGCATATGCCAACATGCCCTGCTGCTTTTATTTTTTTTTAGTACTGTACCACTTAGCTACATCCCTAGTCCTTCTTTTTGTTTTATATTTTGAGAAAGGGTCTCATTAAGTTCCTGAGAGTCTCACTGAGTTGCTGAGGCTGGCCTTAAATTTGGGATCCTCTTGCCTCAGCCTCCCAAGTCTCAAGGATTGCAGTGTCCAGCTTTTTTTTTTTCTTTCTTTCTTCTTTCTTCCTTTTTCTGTCTCTCCCTCTTTTTTTTTTTTTTTTTTTTTGGATGGGGCTGGGGAGCAAATCCAGGGCCTCACACATACTAGGCAAATGCAGGGTTAGGGTTAGGGTTAGGGTACCCTGCCACTGAGCTATAGCCCCAGCCCCAAATGGTTGTTGTTTTTTTTTTTTTTAATTCCATCATCATTTTTCCATTGTAGTTGACTTTCTTCTGTAAGGAAGAGCTGTCCCTCACCCCCTTTTGCATATTAATGTAACTTAACCGTCTTTGTCCTTATTATCTATAAATTTGGATGCAAGTTCATTGGTTCTACCCAGGGGTTGCAGGTACAAGGGATAATTTTATAGAATACTTTTGTAAGTGGTCTGTGTTTACAAAAAATTGTACATTTATGCTAATGTATGTATAGCTAAAGGAAGCAATAAAACCTGTCGTAAAATTAGGAGTCAAGTTCAATAATTAAACTTAAGACACAAAAGGCATATTTTATGCTTACTAGAACATGTCAGATAATCCAAACCATTAATATTGGTCTAGATAGAAATTTACTGAAGTATCTGTTTTTTTTTTTTTTTTTTTTTATTGTCTTTAAACCTTTATTTGACTGTAAAGAATGGCTGTTTGCAAAATTCTGGTATCTTAACAAATTTTAAATGGTTTGGTTTCTAATCATGTATATTTTCAGTAAGATGTTTTCAAACTGTTTTGAATTAAAGACATTCATAACTTATTTTTTCTTTCTTTTTAGGGTAACCTCCAGTTACTGCAGAACTGCCTGGCAGTGTTAAATGGAGACACATAAGCCACATTCTACTTCCTATTAAAAAGGGCTGCCTTCCTTTAAATCTTATTTTTGTTTTCTTAATGATGTTAAAGCATTTATGCTCACTGAAAACAAAACAGCTGACAAAGTGCATCTACTCTTCTTTTTCTGAGAAATAGTGGAGCAGCGCTGTGTACCCGCAATGCCCATCTGTGTGATGTGAGGCTGCACTCTGCTCCTCTAGACGGTGGTCTGTCACCGTGCAGTCGTCCTACTCAGAAGCCCAAAGTTTGGTCTTTATTTTTAAGTAGCCTCTATAACTGTGTTTACTTTATAAATAGTATTCCTTATGGCTGCCAATCTTATTTACCTTTAAATAATTTCTGAAGTTTAACCTTTTTAAAATACATTGTTCAAACGAGATAAAGATTGCCTTTCTGAATTTTTTTTAAATTTCATTTTTAAAAAGCATTGTATACTTTATTTCATTCATTCTTGTAAAGCATCTTAATCAAACTTACGTTTAATTAATCAACATAAAAGGTTTGGGCCAGACTTTATGTAATCTTTAGAAGTATGATCTCTGAAGAAAAGCAAATGCATTTGTATGTTTGCCTTAAACTTGTAGACTAAACCAATTATTGTAAAATAACCAGCGATAACAGTTATCGTTTTTAACTTTGTGGTCATGGTATCACTCTAAAATTTTGGAGTAGTTCTAATAAATCTACTCCGGTATTATGCTTTACAGTGCAGGTCTTGATTTCTCCTTTTCTCCCCTATTTCTTTTAAAATGGCATATTGAACCAGGTTCACTAATCCCTTTAGAAAAGAATGAACTGCTCACCCATGTGCACTTCATAGGTGGAACTGGGCAAAGACAGGAGAGGAGCAGCATGCAGCATGCAGTCTGTTTTTCTGGATTCCGTCCCTAACTCAGCCAGTTAACCATGAGATGTATGCTATTGAGCCACTTGGTAGTTATGCCAGTATATAGACTGATGTGTAGAAGGGGAAAAGTCTGCTATAAGGACAGTTGTTGCGTGTGAAGAAAAGGGACTATTTGGGATGAAAGTTGGTGTGCATATAGGATACTAATTGTGAGTAGTTACATTACAAATAATATTGGCCTTTCTAATGTGAATGAACATTATTGTCATTTCTACTTTAAAGTTAGATTGAGTGGTTGGACTTTTCCACTGTCTTTTTCTAACTTCAGGCATTTGAGCTGGTCACCCCTTGAATGGGTTCCTGATTTGTTTACATTTTCCCAAATGGTTCTGAAGATTGCCTGGTCACCTGGTCTCTGTCTTATTGCCAGTCACGATTCCAGCCTTTCTCAGCAGCATGTTCTCTTGCCTCACTCATGTACCGGTTAATGTTTTGTCTTTTTAATTGACATGTTCCCCAATGCCATTTGAACTGTTGGTTTTTCTGTTGTTGGCTGAGAGAGCTATGTACTTTGTCCTTCATGTAACCTTCATTGGTAAGAATATGCCCATGCAGTTTCCACCAGTGGTGGGATGTTGGGACCTAGCTTCTGGATTCAGCTGTAGTCCTTCTCCAGAAGCCCTGTGGTCTCAAGCAAGTTTGAGCAGGTTGCTAGACGTCTGCCTCTGTTCTCTACTATAAAGGACATATTGACCTACCTCACAGGGGTGTTGTGAGGATTAATAAATGTTGGTACCTTACTTTGGAAATGTGAAGATGCTGTGTAAATGCTAAGAAATAGAAAGTACAGGGCCAAGAGCTAGACAGTGTTTTACCTACCTATCGGATATTCTTTCTTCGAGGAGGATGTAGAATGGAGTATGTCCCTGGACACCTGATGTTTTTTGTTGTGTTTTGTTATGGCCTGGAGCATGCTAAGCAAGCATTATACCACTGAACTACATCCCCAACCGCCCCCCCTCCTTGTTTTTAAATTTTCAGTCAGGGTCTTGCTGCCCATGCTGGCCTTAAACTTGGGATCCTCCAACTTTAGCCTCCTGAGTAGCTAGGATCAGAGGTGTATATTACTACACCAAGCAAATAAATTATCTTGTATTGTGTGCGCCACCCCCATCCCTGCAGGCAATGGGACTGAACCCAGAGCCTGTACATGCTAGTCAACTGCTTTACCACTTTACCACACTCCTCCTGGTTTACATTTTTAGAATGCTTGTAGGGATCAAGATAAACAGGAAGGAGTTAGCATTAGATTGTGTGCTGGGAGGGGGGAGAGTGCTTAATCTATGCATACTATGCAAGGCCTTCTCACAAAATCTTCAAATAAGGTAGAGAATGTATATCACTCCATCGTGGGTATACTAAGGAGAGATTTTTTTGTGCTCTCAGAACAAACTTTTTTTCAAAGCTCAGCCAACCTGGGTTCTTTGAGGAGGATTAATAAAATGGAGTATGTCCCAGTCGAGTTGAAGCATTCATTTTAACATTTAGTGACAGTCTTGTACCTAGGAGATACAAAGGTGAAGTGGGAAGACAAGGCTATGTAGAGAGAAGGTGATGCGTGGACAATTACTGTACGCAGTTACTATTCTAAGATGGTTCCTTGGGAGCCAAGAAGCACTTTGTGGGAGTTATAGGGCCTCTCAGGTGATGATTATGTGTTCTTAAGGGGCAGGAGGAAGAGAAGTCTAAGCAATGGGAGAAGCTTGATGAATCAACTATGGGGTGGAACCTGGGAGTTTAGGAAGAAAAGTTTATGCAGTGCAGTTGTAGAAGGCTGGAACTGAAATTACAGAAGATACTGGATTGATTCGTTTGACCAGTGAGGGTAAAAGCCTGAGTGAGATGTCTGTACTTAGAGAATTTTGTACGATATTCCTAATGTCTTATAGTAAATAGCTATAGATGTTGAGCTCAAACTGATCTTTCTAAAATGTGGAATGAATTAGGAGAATAAGTAGTTGGTTTAAAAAGAAAAACTGCTGTAAACTGGCACACTCTTGTAATCTAAGCTACTTGGGAGGCTAAGGCAGGAGGATCACAAGTTTGAAGCTAGTCTCAGCAATTTAGAGAAAATTAACCTAAAAAGGCTGGGGATGCAGCTCCGTGGCAGACCCTTCTGGGTTTAATCCCCAGTACCACAAAACAACAAAATTACTAGGGAACAGGGAAGGATTGGGGATTTTAATTAAGGGAGTGAAATCCCACTTGAATCTTTCTTACCTTATGTTGTTTTGGATAGAAAAGGGAACATGTCTCCCGCCACCCACCCACACCCATTGTAAGGGTCCGGCGAAGCGTGGGAGGAAGAAACCACCAAGAGACTGACTCATGCAATTGCAGAAGGGGATTTATTTATTGAGGATCCAATCCAGCGCGCTGGGGATCCGTGCTCACTCAAGAAAGGAGAGCAGCCCAGAGCAGGGGCTGAGCACTGCTTAAGTACACTTCTTGGGGAGGGCGGGGACTTTACATACATCACAGTTTCCTTTAACAAATCATCATACACCGCGGGAAAATCAAACAACAATTCCTAAACATGATTAGTTCATTCATTGGCGGGAACAGGTCCGGCGGGGGTGATTGATTACTCCTAAGCAGGGTACACATTCAAACTGATTGGTTTAGGCCCTGTGATGCCTACCTGCAAGATCGCACAGGGCCCTAGGCTATTAATCAACTAAATGGCCAGTAGGGCGTTGTCTTAACTGCCTCAGGAATTTCAGGTTCTGGGTGTAGCAGAAGAACTTAATAATACCTAGTCCTTCACTTTTTAACTCAGGCCTTGCAGCTTAGGAACTTTACAATGCCCGGTCTTTTACATTTTAACTCAGGCTTTGCAGTTTAGAAGCAGCTTAGAAACTTTACCCTTTCACCATCCTTTCCCCTTAAAATGACCTGCAGTGTAAAAATTGGAGGCTGGCAAGAATATAACCTCGACTACAGGTATTTAAAACAAGAAGTTTAGGCAGAAAGTCAAGGATAGCAGTTTAGGACTGTTGCAGCTGTTCAGATTATTCACCACTCCCCAAGGCTGCTCTGCCATGTCAGGTGTAAACTCTGTGGCATGACTAACTTGAGGGTACCAAGTACACCTTTAAGCCAAACTCCGACTTGCAGATAAAATCTGGGGGGGGGGGGATTTTGCTGGCAAAGAGGCTTGATCTTTTTAATTCCCTGCAGAAGCCTCACGGTGGTGCCCAGCTATAATCCTGTGACTCTGAAGGGTGAGACAAGGATCCTAAATTCAAGGCCAGTTTGGCCAACTTGGTGAAACCTTGGAAAGAAAGGAGGTAAGGAAGAGAGACAAAGAAACGGGGGGGGGGGATGGGGGGGATAGCCAATCCACTGGATACTCTGCAGAAACTGCAAGATTCATCAGGACCTGAGTCCAGTCAACTTGCCACCGACAATAAAAAAAGATAACTCAGATGGGGCCAGGATTATGGCTCAGTGGCAGAGCGCTTGCCTAGCATGCGTGAGGCACTGGGTTCAATCCGCCGCACCACATAAAAACAAAGGTATTGTGTCCAACTAAAAATATTTTTTAAAAAAATACATAACTCAGAGATAAACAGAAGTAGAAGGAAGCCACCTACACAATAGATGCAGAAGAAAGTGCCATTTAGACAAGGATGAACAGGAATATGACTAAGAAATGGTTACCCATAGATTAAAGGGATTGGGAAGGTAAAAACAGAAGAAAGTCCCATGTTAATGTTGCCCCCACTCATCCTGCTCAAAGGCAGAAAGATTCTCTCCTTCCGGTTTTCATGGAAGGCGTTCCCCAGTCCACTGAAGAAAAGACAAGTCCTGTATTCTTTCGCTGATCGCCAGGGGAGTGGGATGACGCCGTGCCAGGCCTCGCAGAACACCCACCCTGCTGCCAACCAGCCCAGCACCCGCCTGCTTCTGGGAAAGCAAGGACTTCACCCTGGACGGAGGCAGCAGCTCCTATGAACTCGGCCTCCCGGGAGGACTAAATCCTAGCAGCGTCTGTTCACTGCTTGGATGACTACAGCCATCTTCACTTACTCGTCCTTGGGTACCGAAGATTGAACCCCAGCCCTACTTCGCATTTTGCTTGGACACAGCGTCTCACCATACTGCTGAGGTGACCTTTGAACTCGCGATCCTCCTCCTCAGCTTCCCAAGGCACTGGGATCCACATGGCGCACGAGGAGTGCGAAGAACAACTTAACCACAGTCCACAGTGAGACCCTACGTGAAGCAAAAAAAAAGAGGACCGCAAACAGGAAAAAAAAAAAAACAAGACCGAGATCTAAAAGTCAGCTTTTAAAACAAAGAATAACCAGGGGAGAGCGCGAACGCAGTCCCCCACTACCACAAATTATGCAGTCGAGTTTCCCACATTTGGGGAAATCGCAGGGGTCAGCACATCCGGAGTGCAATGGATAAGCCTCGCCCTGGGAAAACCACCTTCGTGATCATGGTATCTCCCCTGCCAGGTAAGTATGAGTTGCTAGCCAACCCTCGACCCACACCCTGGCGCCAGCCTCACTCTACACTCACGGTCATCCCCCCCACGCGGCCTCTCCACCTTCCCGCCCCCATATGGCCCCCTCTATGTTCTCGCCGCTCGGAAAAAAGTCATCACGGACAATACGGATAATGCCCACCCGGGACGTGGGGGCCCAGGAGGAGCCGGACCAGCAGCCTCAGCGTGCGTGCTCATCTACATGCGCCACGCCCTTATGCTGACGTCCGCGGAACTCCGGTCTAATCCCCTTTCCGACGTCCCGCCTACCAAAGCCGGAAGAGAAGAGTGCTGGTGTGTGTGGTGTGTGGAAAAGAGCTGTGTGCGGTGCGGACTTAATTTTTTCCTCTCCCGTACAGGATTTCGTTTGTTTTGCTTTGTTTTGTTTGGGTGGCACCAGGGATTTAACCGAGGTGCTTTTTGCCGCCGAGCTACATTCGCAGACCTTTATTTTGTCTTTGTTTTATTTTATTTTGTGGGAGGGTTACTGGGGATTGAATTCGGGCACTCAACCACTGAGCCACATACACCCCCAATCCTTTTGTGTGTGTGTGTGTGTGTGTGTGTGTTTTGTTTGTTTGTTTGTTTGTATTTCATTTAGAGCCAGGGTCTCACTGAGTTCTCTGGCGCCTTGCTCTTGCCGAGACTGGCTTTGAACTGGCTTTGATCACTTGTCCAGTGAATGGACGCTTTCCTTGACATGTTATTCAAGTTTTCTTTCACTGCTACAGTTTAGGTAGCTATATAGTCCCCAAGAAAAAAAGTAATTAATGGGGATTAAAACAATGTCATGTTAGAACTCAAACTAGTGTTTAACTCCCCCCCCCCCACCTTTGCCGCTGAGCTGCCTCCCAGCCCTTTATTTTGTTTTACTTCGTTTTTATTTTGAGACACAATCTCACCAAATTGCTGAGGGCCTCTCTAAATTGCTGTAGCCTGGAACTTGCATCCTCCTCTCAGCCTCCAGAGTTGCTGGGATTATGGGCGTCGCCGCTCTCAGTCGCCACAAAAGGAACTTAGTTCTAGAAATAAGTGGAGGTTAAAGCACCTCCTCCCCAGATATGAACGAAATGATTTAAGTACTGTGAGTCTGTGGCTAGTTGGTGCTGTAGAATAAAACAGGGTAGGAGAGAAATCTAGAGATTGGGGGTGGCCTGAAAGAGTAGTCTAATTCCCTACCAAGGAAGTGTGGCGTTTCTAGCCACTTGATTTGTAAGATACCCTTCGACACCTCTCCTCCCCAAA